TAACAGCAAATACAGCAAACATGCCCAGTGTGATGACCACGGGCTTCCTGTACCCAGCTGTCCACGGGTAGTCGTATGTGACGATGAGATCGCGATCCCTGAATTCATCGACGAGGTTGATAGCCGTCAGCTCCAGTGTGGTACGGCCCAGGGTATCCATGAAGGTCTTGTGGAGGCTGGTCTCGTTGCGGACGATAGGGACGGTGGTGGAGAACTTGACATTGGTAGCGCCTTCAGGGAGGATAACGCGGAGGTTTAGGCGACCGTAAGAGATGCCTTCACCGGAACGGGGACCCTCGAGGAAAGGCACTTTGAGGGCGTAGGTGTCGCCTGTAGAGAGCTTGCGCAGATACGAAGAGAGATCTGCGTTCCAACCAACACGGAAGCTGTACTTCCAGGTTCCGAAGATGGGGTATCGCGGCTTCAACTCGAGAAGTGCTTCTTTCTTGCCTGGGCGGAACTTTGAGGTGGAGACGTTGCCAATGTCATCGGTGAAGTAGGGGTCGACGGAGCCGGGGGCGAGAGGCAGGGCCAGGCCCTTGAGGGCGAAGGTGGGTGGGTTGAGGTAGGACTGGCGTTGCCATTCTACGCGCGAGAAGTGATTCTTGAGGCCTGCGCCTTGGTTGACGAGCCAGTAGCGCTCCTCGGCTGCCAGGTTGCCGCCCCAGTGTGAAACCTCGATGTCGCGCTCCAGCAGTGTGGCGTGTGTGAGGGGCTTGGTGAACTCGTAGCGCACGCTCACGAGCTGCTGGGCACCGGCAGGCACGTTGTTGTAGAGACCGTAGGTGAAGGTGGAGCCTTGCTTCTGCGGGTCGGGCGTCTGCTCGTCGTTGAGCTCGGCGGGGAGGGTGGTGTAGTCTGGCACGTCGCTGTTGGGGAACTTGACCTTGGTTCGCTGCTTCTCGGTAAGATAGGCTGAGGGGGCGTATGCGCTGAAGTCGTACTGCAGATACTGCTTGTCTGTCTGGGCGAGCTGGGCGGGGACGGGCTTCAGAGCCGAGAGAATGGAGTAGGAGATGGTGATGGTCTGCTGGGCCTTGGGTGCGAGGGGCTCTGGCAGATGGATCTTGTAGAACTCGACGGAGCTCTCCGTGTCAAAGCCCACGACGTCGACCTTGAAGATGCCCTTCTCGGCCGCCTTCTTGTCTCTTACTTCGAAGCCGCCAACCTTGGACAGCAAGCTCGACTCGAATGGCAGGTAGTATTCCGATTGCGCCTTGTCGTCAATGTTCTCGATTATAACGTTGATGGTCTCCCTCGGATACGCCTTGTCCAGGTTGGTGGTGCGGACCAGGTTTGCATTCTTGAAGACTTGCGGCGGAGTGAAGGTGGTGGGCAGCACCTGCTTGGATAGCAGCGGCTGGGAGAGGTTGAGTTCGGCGCTGGCCAAGCTCGAGAGCGCTGCTATGCAGCTGGTAAAGAGGGAGGACCTCATTGTTGGAACAGCAGTCAAGCTATCCAGTCATGTGAGGTCGGTGTTGGGGGAATTGTTGGGTCAATTGGTGGTTACGCGGCGGATGTGTTGCGCGGATGTGTTGCGTCGTAGGTGTTCTCTTCGGAGTTCCCTGGCACCTCCGCGTCTTGGCATAGACAGCTTGAGCTCACCCCTCCATGTACTACTACTGACACCTTACACGCCACCATGAGACTGCTCGCACCATCAATTGGCCGGCCGCGGATACTCCCAAGCCGCTGTAGAATAGCCACCGCAGCCGGAAGGCGCCACTTGACCAACAATGGCTTCTTCCGTGTCTCGGACGAGGTGCGCGAAGCTCTGAACTCGAAGAAGCCCGTCGTCGCGCTCGAGACGACAATCTACACGCATGGTAGGTATTCACACATATACACACACACATATATATATATATATGCAGACAGCTGACCCATGCAGGCTTCCCCTATCCTGAAAACGTAGCCCTTGCATCCCTCCTCGAAAGCGTAGTCCGAACGAATGGCGGCATCCCAGCCACCATTGGCATCCTCGACGGCGTAGCACGTGTAGGCATGGACCCAGAGGAGCTGATCAGACTCGCCTCTTCTGCTGGCAAAGCAAACACAATGAAGCTCTCGCGACGCGACCTCGGCTATGTATGTGGCATGCGACTGACGGATAAGTCCTTCAACGGAGGCACCACCATCTCCGGCACTATGCTGCTGGCCCATCTCGCTGGAATCAAGATCTTTGGAACAGGCGGCCTCGGTGGAGTCCACCGTGGTGCAGAGTCAAGCATGGACATCTCTGCCGATTTGACCGAGCTTGGGAGGACCCCAGTCACCGTCATCTCCAGTGGCTGCAAGAGCTTCCTCGACATACCGCGAACAATCGAGTACCTGGAGACAGAAGGCGTCGGCGTAGGCACTTTCGCCGATGGACGGCAAGGAAACGTAGACTTCCCCGCTTTCTGGTCCAGAGACAGTGGAGTCAAGAGTCCCACCACCATTGCCGATGAGATTGAAGCGGCTGCCGTTATATGTAAGTCTGTGACCATGTTCCATGATATCTGCTTCTGATGCCATACAGACGCCCAACACGCACTCCAAATCTCGTCCGGTCTTCTCTTCGCCAACCCCGTCCCTACCGATTTCGCTATACCCAAGGATGAGATGGATGTCATCATTGCCGAGGCTCTAAAACAGGCCGAGGCGTCCAACATCTCTGGCAAGGACAACACGCCTTTTGTGCTTGCCAAGATCAAAGAACTCAGCAAGGGCAAGAGCATACCCGCCAACAGAGCCCTGATAGAATCCAACGTGAAGAGGGCCACTATCGTAGCACGAGAACTCGCCATCCTCGAAGCGAAACAGGAACAAGCCCAAGGGTGAGCCAGCACTCTTGTTGCTCCATCGTAGACTGGCGCTGATGTAAGTATACTAGACGGAATTCCTCTTACTTTACTCCCGTTCCATCCAATCTCTCGTCTACTCCACACGAGGAGCTGCGCAATGCAACCTCGTCGCCCTCTGAGCCTGCTTCAACTCCCACCACGTCATTCTCATCTAGTACTGAGCCTCGAAAAGACCCCGATGTGGTTGTCGCAGGCGCTCTTGCAGTTGACTTCTCTTGTGATTATGCTCCGTTCAAGGCTTCTGCGGGCCAGACAGATCCACTTCCTCACACCTCGAATCCAGCAGTCATAACTCAGACACTTGGAGGTGTCGCACATAATATTGCTAAAGCCTCGCATTTGCTCGGCTCTTTCGTTCATCTGCATAGTGCTGTTGGTGACGACTTGAGTGGTCGCGCGGCGATCAGCCAACTGCAGCAAGAAGGCATGTCAGTTTCCGGTATCGAAACACTCCCTGCGCCGTCTAGAACAGCGCAATATGTCGCCATCAACAACACGAACAAAGATCTTGCACTTGCCATGGCAGATATGTCGATCCTAGAGATGATTCCCAATGAAACTATCCAACAACTAGCCACCAGTATCTTCAACAACGCTTCAGCTCGACCTAAAGCCTTCGTTGCAGATGCGAACTGGTCTTCCTCCGCCCTACACACTTGGCTCCAAGCCGCTCGTCACTCAGACACTACCACCATCTTCGAGCCAGTCTCTACAGCCAAGTCACTACGCATTTTCCCATCTACCACTCATCCATCAGTTTACCCCAAGCCTCTAGCAGACATCATAACACCCAACACTTATGAACTCACTGCACTCCATGATTTCGCCAGCCAGGCCACCCTGTTCGAGTCGCCCGAATGGTTCAGCGTCATCGATGCATTGGGTATCCCCAACGGTGGCTTGAGAGTCCCATTAGCCGTCACAGTGGGTGGTGACATAGTAGACCAAGGCATCCCCCAACAAGCCATCAAGCTCCTCCCCTTCTTTCCCACAATCTTAACCAAGCTTGGTCCTCAGGGTGTACTCATGACGAAACTCCTAGCCTCTGATGCAAAAGAGCTGAGGGAGGATCATGAGCGGCAGTATGTGTTGGCGAGAAACATGTCTTCTGATGGTGCAGCTACCGTTGGTGGTCTCTACGTGAGATTGTTTCCTGTGGAAAAAGTACTCGAACCACATGAGGTAGTCAGTGTAAATGGCATTGGTGATACGTTTTGCGGTGCCTTGGCATATGGCCTGAGTCGAGGAGAGAGGGTGCAGGATGTTGTGGGGTTTGCGCAGAGGGCTGCGGGCGAGAGTTTGAAGAGCAGGGAGGCTGTTAGTCCGGAGTTGAGGGGATTGAAGATGTAAGCTATTGGGTCGTAGGTCTCTCACTTCAGGCAAGAAACCACCCCACTGCCAAATTGTGTTTGTTGTCCAAGTTAGGATTGCTGGCATATGGCCGAGCTTACATGTCAGCATGTTGTGCCGAGGCCATAGAGGCTGAGTGTATTAGGTTCATGCAGAGGCAATATCCACAAAATCTCCGACCGTGATGGCCATTCCCACTCAACATCCCCGCGATATAACCCCAGCCTAGGCTTATAGGGCCTTGGCGGCAAACGGGACGGACTTGAAGTCGGATCGGATGTGGCTTCTGTGTGTAGATCCGCCAGTATCACCCAACCGGAATCTGAGAATTACAAAGCTCCAACACGACGAATGCACTACACTTCCGTACCCGTTTGATAGACAGGAAACGGCAGTTACATGTTCCGGTGTCTTTTGTAGGCGATGGTTCCGAGGTCGTGCTAGAAAGTCTGGGCACCATGTAGCTTACCTGAACCCCCATGCGTGCAGCTCCCCACTTAACCAGATCGGGTGCATTGTATACGCAAAAACAGGGACAACATAGAACTTTCCGTGTTTCATGGCCGAGCTCAGCAGTCTTGTCTGCTTGTTGGTGAGGCACAATCGGCCCTCATAGATTGGATGCTTACTGACGCCGCTCCAGTCTGTTCCGCGATGGAGGGAAGTGAGTGTATATAAGGCATTGTATGTCAATTTAAACCTTTATGAACAACGTTCTTGCCGATCAGCATCATACATATACCAAAGACCTTGTCATAGGCTTCTCAAATACAACTTCTTGGGTTCTCGTACCTCCATCTCGAAATGCCATTCGATCAAAAGCCAGAAGGCTACCGGTGGGATATCATCACCGAGGAGGAACTCAAGTACGCTCCGACCTACTTCCAGGACGTACCGGAAACCACAACGGAGGTTGAATGTAAGCTCGGCGGTACATGGCCTAAGTGGCTTCATGGTTCTTTCTTGAGGTAAGTCACTGGATTGTATTCTATGATCGCAGCGAAACGTCGATATTGAAAAAAAAAACATAGGGTGGGCGTTGGACGCTTCACAGTCCCAACTTCAGAGGACGACTCGACGCCCAGAGTAGTTATTCAGCATCTCTTCGATGGCCTGGGCTTGCTGCACAAGTTCCGGATGGTTGACGGCCGTGTCTACTACATGAGCCGCTACACGCACAACGGAATCGTGCGACGGGCAATGAAAGATGGCTATGTTACAAACTCCTGGATGGGCCCTAATCCCAACACTCCTCTCTTCGAAGCTCAGGACCCGTGTTCGAAACTGCTCGGTGCTCGTGTAAGTGGGATCTTAGAAATCATGATTGAAACGATTGTAGCCTAATTCTAGCACAGCAAACCGTATATCTTCCTAATGATTTCTCGGCGCCGGACGACTTCAACATCCATGTGCAGCCACGCCGCGGTATGCACCTTCCAAAGGATAAGAATCCCAATTCAAGAGGTATTCAGGCGGAAGACCCCGCCACTCAGGAGGTAAGCAACACTTGTCAGACCTTGAATGAACCCGACCGAGCTCATGTTTGGATACAGATTCTAGTCCACACTGACTGGAATGCTATGCAAATCTGTGACGCGAAGACTCTCGAACCAAAGCGGTTGCTTACCCATGCGACCATTGATCCCGAGCTCGCTGGAGCTGGTTGCTGCGCTCACCCTGTTCATGACCGCAGGCGAGGTCAAACCTATAACTACCTGATCGATGCAGCTGGCATCATGTATGTTTTCGCGCTCGACGTTGCATCGAACCCGGCACGTCTCTTGTGGAAATCCGCTCTCCCCTGCAGACCATGCTACACGCATGCTCTCGCCATGACCGACAAGTACGTCGTGTTCGTCAGAAACGTAAGTGTTGATTCGCAAAATCTAGGATAATGAAGTTCTCTTGCTCATATGCAAACAGCCCGTCACCATGGATACCAGCGATCCAACAAAAACTATCATCGAAGCGATGAAGTGCGAGCATGACTCTCCTGTTTACTTCTACGTGTTAAACAAGGCAGATGGCAAACTGTAAGTACCTCAGTCTCAACTTACGACTTCGAACCCCCCAACTCAACCCCACCAGCGTCGCATCCTACGAAATCCCCAACTTCTACTTCTTCCATACAGCAAACGCATACGACTACGTCGACCCCAAAACCGGCCACACCAACGTCCACGTCGACATAGCTAGCTACAAAGCCGACCACTACCCCTACAACGAATACGCCATCTCCAACGTCATCAACCCGCTAAAACCATACCAAGTCGGCCGCCTCGTCCGCTACGAACTCGCTGCCGTAGACACCAAAGACCCCGCCGTCATCGCCCGCGGCACAGTCAAAGCCGCCATCCCAGACATGATGGCCGAGCTACCCCGTATCTCGAAACCCGCGTCCATGGATCCAAACTACCGCTACGTCTACGGTGTCTCCGGCAACGGCGTGTCCGCACCAGGCACCCAAGTCCCCATTGGCCGTCTCGGAAACGGCGTATCCAACGGAATCACCCACGCTTCTTTCTACGGACACCTCTTCAAGTCGGATTGGCAGACGGGCACGTTCAAGTCTTGGATTCCGCAGCATGGCGAGAGTTGTCCTACAGAGCCTATTTTTATTCAGCGCCCTGGGGCGACGGAGGAGGATGATGGGATTGTGATTACGATTACGATTAACAAGGAGGGGACACATAGTATTCTTGTGGGACTTGATGGGAGGACTTTTGAGGAGGTTGCTAGGGCGGATATGCCGCAGGTGTACTCGCTTGGTCCTCATGGATCGTTTGTTGAAGGGGACTTTGGGCTTGTTAGTACCATGGGATGATAGCGAGTGTAAGCTTGGGTAGGGTAAGGGTGCGTAGTCTTAGTAAGTAGCTGTTCCTGTCTAGTACGTAATTCAAAGTATGTTAATAACAGATGTACCGTATACAATAAGAAACTCGAACGGGTATAGGGATAACATGCCCTAGTTTACCGCCTACTTTAGCTTCTAAGAAGAAATTATAGAAAGATTAATAGTATTGTAGACTTCTAGATTCTCTATCTATGTCCAGAAAGGTCTTAACACGCTTTATTGTAGTAAGTATAAGTACTTTGCTCTAAAGAGATGTTCAATTTCTCTCTTTAAGGTAGTGGATGTGTAGTCATGTATTGTGATGTGATGTGTGCGTGTGTTTCCGTCATTGGGGTATTGATAACATATCTACGATCTAACCACAAATTGAAAAACTCGGTCTTGATCAGTCCCTCAACCAAAGCTTCATCGTCCCATAGCTAATCGGATCTTTCTGCTTCACGATAGGGTCTTTCAGCAGTTTGGTAGCCTACCATACGTTGTAGCAACAACCCCGCATTTGCGCAGGATCCTTTAAACGTGAAAACCCCGTTTCCCTTGACCTCACTTGACCTCCACTCGCCCTCATTCTCTTGTGTTACACTACACGGAAATTCTTTCAGACTTCCACACCTTAATACTAGTAACCATGTCCGTTATCGTCCCTCAGACGTCTTATGCAGGCGGCATAGACGACGAGTTAGCTGCTCTTGCGCTGCAGTTAGAGGAGCTTGGTGTTTACTCGGAGGCTAAGAAAGGAAAGCATCCTATTGATCAGCCACCAGACATGGACGTTGCCTACAGCAAATTTCAGATTGAATTGCAAGCTTATGAGGACTTTCTTGCGGACCAGAAGCTTGCCCAGAGCATTGGTGCGGCTGTGCACTCCGATAGCGTCGTGATTGAGGATCTCACTTCCCAAGACGTTCAGGCTCACGAGGACCGTCGTTTCGCTTTGGAGCTGAGCAACAACGACCCTGAGATTGAGGCCCCGCCCTCGTCCGTGCACGACCATCTTCAAGGTGAAGTCCACGACTGGATGTCCACAGTGTCTGGTAATATCGCTGCTGCTTCGGTCGTCGAATTCTCAGATGACGAGACCGAAGCTGGACCGGCTATGTCCTACGTGGAGCGCCAGGCCGATACCATCAAGAAACTCTCTACAGAGTTCAAATGTTGTACTTGTTACGACCGATTCCCTCGTGCCTCTATGGTAACAGCAAAATGTGGCGACCGCTACTGTATTGATTGCATGAAGGGTCTGTTCATACGGTCGACAAAAGATGAGAGCCTTTACCCCCCCAGATGTTGCAAGCAAAAGATTCCGCTTGATCTGATTGCAAGGCACATGGAGCCAAACGAACTGGCCACCTTCGAACTGGCGATTATGGAATATGCCACCCAAAAGAAGACGTACTGCAGCAACCCCGACTGTGCCACCTTTATCGTCCCGGATCGTATCGAACCTGGTACGAATCGAGCAGTGTGTCCGAAATGCAGTGCAGAAACTTGTGCAATCTGCAACCACGAGTTCCATGCAGGGTCTGACTGCCCAGATGATCCCTTGCTACGACAGACGCGAGAATTGGCTCGCGAGATGGGCTGGCAAACCTGCAATGCCTGCCATCGAGAAGTAGACTTGCGTAGCGGCTGCAATCACATTACGTAAGTCCACGTCGCTTCGCAGGTGTGAATAATATTAATCCGTCGCAGATGTCGATGTGGCGCTGAGTTCTGTTATATCTGTGGTGTTCGTTGGAAGGAGTGTACTTGCGCCACCGCAGATCTTCATCGCATTGAAGAGCGCGCCGAAGAGATCGTGGACCGAGACGCCCCGAACTTACTTCCCCAAGAAAGGCGCCAGCGTGTTGACAGAGTCTTCGCCGAGTTACAAGACAGGCATGAATGCGAGCATTCTCGGCGCTTTGAGCGCGTCTTTTATGGAGCGCCCAGAAGAGGCTTCCGATGCGAGATGTGTGACGCGCGCCATCATAAGTACATCCTGCGATGTCGCTATTGCTATGTCGATGTCTGCGAAGATTGTCGTCGCAACCGCATCTGATAATGGGTTTGACTCGTCGGAGGCCGTTTCTGTCAGATGTCACTTCGCTCTCTACGCTGACATTTCCGCTCCTTCGATGTTGACTTCCATATGAAGCCTCGCTCCATAGGTTATGACGGAAATCCAATATTTTGTTCGTCGAGTTCCATATTGCACGTTGTTCGCGATCTCGTATCTGCTATGAGTAAACAAGCAATCGTAACCGGGTGATACGCTCCTTCAGTATGTATGGTGATGACCCTAATAATGGCAGTGTAGAAGATATGAGTTGCGCAGACTGTAAGCCAGACTCAGGCGCGATGCGGCGCGTTCCAGCTGCTTAAGCTTCAAATACCGCCCATAAATCAAAATCGCTGGTTGTATGACTATGGTTAAGTTAGTGCTCTGCTGACTGGTGACAATGTAGCTGGTACGGACGTTGTTGATTCATTTAGGTGCGCGTGAAGGACACGGTGCTGGAAGTGACATCACTGACTGAGCTGGTGTTCCAAAAGTGGCTTAGCGTAAGGGTCTGTCATCATGTGGGTCATCGTGTTCACGCGTCTTACCTTTTTCCTGACGCGACGATTGATTCGCATACGAAGCGGGACGATGTTAGAGAGCCTCTTGGACTCTCGTATTCCAGCATGTCATTTATGCGACGCGGCGCTGTGCGGCCAATCACCAGGCGGGCGCAAGCTGAACCCCTCATCACCACCGTGTGCCTTCTTTTGCACAATAAATGCTGCTTGACTGGACCTGAACAATACCTCGTAATTACGTTGCTTGATCTATATCACTTCATACATTCCCCTAGCAGTTCACTGGTCTATAATCAGAAAGAGTATAAGCGCTATCATCGAGCTTGCGCGTCAGCATTTTCAAGTGCCCACCTGTCCCATATTCCCTACGCGTTCTAGTAGACAATGCCGACTAAAACACCCTTCGTTCGAGTATACGACCCATCAACTGATTACCAGAATGGTCTTCACGTAGTATGTGTTATGTTGTCATCTCCTAGACGACGATCATCCTGACAGAAACTATAGTTCCTGACAACCATCGACCCTGGCCTTGACTGGGAACCAGCGCGAACTGTAGGCTCACACCTCTGGTACAAAGTCTACGCGGATGTGACCCCAGAAACATGTCACGTACTAGACGACGGTGACGGACGCGTGGTGGGTTACTGTATCGGCGCAGTGGATACAACGTCTTTCGCGCAGCGCTGGCGCGACGTGTTCACTCCGACTATAGACCCAAAACTCGTACCACACCCAAACATTCAGACTGGAGATCCACAGATGGAGAGACAGGATGTCAAGCATTTCCGAAAGGCCGTGTATGAGGCGGACTGCAGCATGCTGCAACCATGGCCACAGATGTTGGAACGATACCCAGCGCATTTACATATCGATATTTTGCCAGAGTATCAGAGAAAAGGATGGGGATCAGCTCTCATAACCAGCTTTTTGGACACTGCGAAGAGCTCAGGTGCTGTGGGAGTACATCTTGACATGGTGCAGTCGAATACGAGTGCAAGAGCTTTTTACGAGAAAGTTGGTTTTCAGATATGTCCACAAGTTCTGGATGACGGTGCGAGTGGTCAGCCTGGTGTCAACGGCATCGTGGTCACACTTGTGATGAGTCTCTGACCCTATCAAGTTTTATCCGAGATACTGCCTTTATCTTATGCTTGACAACCGGTTCGGGTCATCCTCATGACGTCGCGATATCTGAGTCGGCCTACAGCTGCTCGGGACGTGGCGGTAGGGTTGCTATTGTTATGAACGACTCAGTGTTTACGTGGCAGATCTTGCGCTTCTCGCTTGTTGCTGACCACCAGAGCACCTCGAAATACACGCGATGAATCTGTATCGCATGAAATATCGTTTCTCTACTCTTACATAGTACGATCATCGTTCCTGACCAAGATATCCGACACGTTGGAAGCTACGTCAACAACCGTCATGGCTCATGTTGAGACAATCAAGCATCGTTGTTAGTATGGTACATGTACAAATGCCAACGATGACTGTCATCAGCCGTTCCAATGAAACTTAATTACCTGGATACATAAAGCTCCTCTCTTTCCTTTACTATGTCGGCCAGATACCGACAGTCACAGAGTTATAAAAATAGGTCGTCGTCTACGCCATGCCACATTCAATCCATCACGAGTTCTACGAACCCAGCGTCCCCGAAAACGCTCCAAGTATACAGGAGAGCTCGTCCGGATCCAACTGGTTGAATAGAATTCGCAAAGGTAAAGGCCATCGATCATCGCATACCTTCATTGCCTTGAATCCGCAGGACCCATATGAGCTTGGTGGTACACCCGTTGAGGAGCATCAAAATGCCAAGTCGGCTCAACAGGAAATATCAGAGCCTTATCAAATGATCTCAGAGGCCACGGTGGGTCTAATAGCTGCTCTCCAGAAGTTCAACTACGCCAACTTGACCTGCCGCCAGACCGATATCTGGCCGGGAGAGCAGGGCGTTCAATTGGTAACAGCAGCTCAGCAGGCTCTAGGAAAGTTTCCACCTACCACAAAACCAGACCCTCTCTCTTACGACGGGTTCCTTCAGCTACTCAACGATGAAGGACTAATGTGGCTTCTGGGGTATGTAGACCAACTAGACAGTATGGCTGATTTTTCCGTGGCACCCACCGCCGACCCCAACAAGAAACGATGCAAAGTCGGGCGACCAATTGGTAAGATCTTGAAACAAGCTCAAAATGATGATTTGGTGAAGAGGCTGTGCTGTTTGCACAAGGATGAAGAAGGCTTTCACATACAGGTCGAGCTCCATCATCGAGACCCTTGGACGTGCTGGCCGCCCAATGTGGACCAGGATGTGGAGGTGAATGTAGTGTGAGATACGGTATGCGCGCCATTTCTTGTTCCATGGGAGTATGTAGTGTGGGCATCTCCTGAGTAACTAATATGCCTCAGTTGCTGGGATCATTGTTGTATGATCATCTCGTCGTGATGTCGCTACTATATGCGTGGAAATTTATGGAGATGACAAAGAGATGTCTTCTTCGACTTTTATGCTACGGAAACAGCTGGGTCTTGAACATAGCTGGAAGAACAAAAGCGCTAAATGTGTCATCTCAAGACAAAGTGTCTCGATCCCAAAAGTCAGGATAACTCAACAACACCCGCGGCGCCTGAACAGGACACAAGCACGGATCTCCAATCATCCTCCCCATCAAGTAATCTCTCATCTAGCCAGTCCCTTTGGTCCTGCCCACTCACCCTTGACGTGATACTTTCCATACACCCACGGGAAAAAGTCCTTCTTTAACCAATAGAAAGCCTTCCTCGGAACGCCCTGGTCAATACCTAGTAAACTGTTGAAGGTCTCCTTGGGCACACCACCATACTTGAACTCAGCAAGCATAACTTCCTTCTGCCCAGTAAGCAACGGGCAAGATGTGTAACCATCATAGCTGGCTTCCAGCGGCTTGTCGGCCATCGCAGAAAGCAAGTTAGACACCAAGACCGGCGCTTCGGCGGTGATAGCAGCAACGGTCTTGGAAGTAGGCAAAGAGGATGCGTCGCCGATGGACCAGACGTTGGGGTACTTGGTATGTTGAGTGGTAGAGTCAGAAACGGAGACGTAGCCTGCCTCGTTGGCCAAGGGGCTGGATTTGACAAAAGACCAAGGCACATTCTTGGGTGCGACGTGGAGGAAGTCGAAGTGCTTCTTGATGGGTTCAGAGTTTGCAACGTTGAATGTTGCTGTGTTTCCGGAGATGGAGGCTAGGTCGTGTTGGAAGAGGCCGTCCACGCCGCGCTCTACGCGGAGTTTTTCCAAAGCTGCTGCGCTGGAGGGGATTAGTATGTATCTTCCACATTACATGTGGGTAGGAAACCTACTATTTTGGCACACCGAACATGGAAGGTAGACCGGTAGCAAAGCTAATGTTGATATCCGACGGGTAGAGTCCAGCATTCTTCCAGTAGTCCAACGCAAGCCACATGATCTTCTGCGGCGCTCCAGCACACTTTACCACACCAGCTGGTTGAGTAAAGACTGCATCACCCTTCTTGAATTTCTTTACATTCTCATACGCCTTGTCGCAATACTCGTAGTCGTAGATAGTGCTCACCATGGCATCCTTCTCGTTCAACGCCTCTTTCAAGCCCTTCACACTACCATAGTCGAGCGTAATACCAGGCACAACGACCAACTGTTCGTATGCAATCTTCTCTCCGGTACCGGTGGTAATGTAGTTTTCCTCGGGTGCGAAGCTTCCCACAGAGGTATTGTAAAACTTGAATTTAGGGTCCATGAGATCCTTCAACGGACGGCGTAGGTCTTCCTTCTTCTTCAAACCACCTCCGACGAGCGTCCATCCAGGCTGGTAATGGTGCCATTGCGCAGGATCGACAATAGCAATGTCGTCTTGTGAGAAGTTTCCTTTTCGGAGCAGTTGATGTGAGAGAGATATGCCTGCCGAGCCGCCACCAATAACGACGATTTTGTGGTTGCGTGTTGCAGTTTGCACTGGTGATACTGTAGCAAGACTGCGAACAGAATGTTGGAATGCTGGTCGCGTGATCTTGGAATATGTGGCCGCCATCTGTGGTCCGCGGTTTCGAGCTAGTGCGGACATGGTATCAACTTTCGGCGACAGTCCGCGATGGCTAAGAAAGTAAAGGAAAAGTGGATGTAGAGACAGACAGAGGGCCGACACAGTGAAGCGTGTGGTGTCTCCGATACCCCCGACTAAACATTTTATGCCATGTGGGTCGCAGACTAGTGACTGATGAACGGCCAATGAGCGAGGTGAAGATGTTACTAGCGCGATCACGACATCGTCCAAAGAGTAAGTCAGCAGCCACAGCACAACATCTCGGATGGAACGGGCAGCAACATCTTATGTACACAGCTTTGCATTAAATCATTTGAATCATGAAACTATATAACAGACATCCTAGCCCATCAGAATTTTACAAGCGCGACAAACCAGCAATCTCCCTTGGAGCGTGGTAGTTGGGGACCTTCATGTCCAACGCGCTGCCGCTGTAGCCCAAGTCCTCACCCGTAAGCACTGCACACTTCTCTCCAATGAGAAGTGCAGTCGAGTATGTGTTGCAACCGACGTTGTCGGGGCAGATGGACAGATCGGCAACCTTGAGACCCTTGACGCCGTGGACGTTAAGGCGCTCGTCGAGGACACCATGCTTGACGATGGAGTTGCCGTTCTTGGGAGCCATGGAACAAGTACCGAGAGAGTGCCAGGTAGTTTCAACGTGGCCTATGGTACGTTAGTAAGTGAATGAAAAATCATCGAAAGGTAAAACATACGCTTGGTCCAGTCCTCGATGTGCTTGATATCCTCGTTCGAGTAAGGGAGATCATCCATAACCTCCTGGCAGTTCGAGCTCAAGAAGTTGGGCTCGGGAGCGCGGCCCTTCTTGACAGGAGAAGTCCAGGATCCGTGCTGAATGCCAGCTGTGATGTTACCGGGAAGGGCGTACTGGTTAGTGGTGGTAAGATCGAGGTCGTTGGCACGTGCGGGACTGTCGTAGGCGTAGAAGGGGTGCATAGCCTGCACTTCACCGGCGTAAGCGTCCATGCGGCGGGCAGTCTCACGAGACTTGATGTAACCCCAGACCATAGGAGCCATGTCGCGCTTGTCGTTCATGAAACCGGCGTCAAAGTCGGGCGCCTCGTATGGGTTGGGCGAGACAATGTGCGTGGAACCACGCGAGAATGGGTACTCGAGGAAGTGGAACATGGTAAAGAACTTGCCTGGTGGCATAACCATGTGGTCACCAAACCAACCAGCAATGACTGAGTAGTGCATAACTGGCTTGTCGGGCTTGTTCTTGAAGTAGGAGTCCCAGCCGGAGCGGAACTCCTTGCAAGGCCAGCTGTCCATCATGTTGAGTTCTTCCTCAGTGGGTCGGATCTTGACACCAGCCTCGATACCGTTGGTGGCGAGTGGACCAGTGCCGTTGATGTTCCATTGGTTGAAGACCTGCTCCTGAACCTTGGGGTCACCACGAACGAAGTCGTCGAACGACTCAACGTGAGGCTTCGCGCGGTAGGTGGCAAACGTCAAGTAATGATCCTGGAAATTGAGACCAACACCAGGAAGATCGACAAGAGGCTTGACGCCGGCCTTGCGGAGCTTCTCTGGGTCACCGATACCAGAGCGCTGAAGGATGAGAGGAGAGCTGAGAGTACCACCAGAAACGATGATCTGCTTGCGGGCCTTGATAGTCCTGGACATTTGTTGCTCAGGGTGGAGAGGCTTAGTTGGGACAACCTTGACGCCAACAGCGCGGTCACCCTCCAGAATGACCTTCTCAACTTTGTTGCTGGTGAGTAGGTGCAAGTTCTGGTGAACGGCGCGGGTGCTGTGAATGTAGCCGTGAGCCGAGTCAGATCGACGTCCAGTATCGCGGTTGATCCACTTGAGCCAGTGCTCGGCACCGTGACCAGTGGTCAAGTCCTGGAGATCGTCGGTGGTCGGGATGCCCTGAGATTCGGTGGCACGGAGGAAGTCCTCCTTGATCGGGTAGGTGTAGTTACCGAAGGAAACCTTGATGGGTCCCTCGAATCCGTGAATGTCGCGGTTGTTGCAGGCGCGCTGGTAGGTCTCGTGCTTCTTCATCAAGGGAATGAGCTCCTTAGTGGTCCATCCCTTGGCTTGGAAGTCGTCGTAGTCGGAAGCTGACGCACGGGTGTACATCTAAAGCACAGTCAGTATTATTCATCTGTAACTCTAGCTAGAGCAAATTACCATGAAGTTGATGGAAGATCCACCTCCGAGGATGTGCGCAACAGGCACAACAGCTCGGCGACCATCGAGCCACTCCGAGGGACGAGAGTAGTAGAAGGTGGCAGTCTTGCTGTCCAACTTCATGTTCCTCGGGTAGATACCGGGACGGAAAACCCATGGGTTGTTGAGGTTGTTCTCTCCGGCCTCAATCAAGAGGACCTGGAGGTTGTGGTCGAGATTGGCGAGACGTCCAGCCACAACACAACCACACGAACCACCTCCACACACGATGATGTCGACCTCATCTGGGATCGTCATCTTGAATTGTTGTTGTGAGATAAAGATATGATTGGAACGGTGCTGTGTTGTTGTTGATTCGTTGACCGCAGGAGAGCAGGTCAACTGGGCATGATGCTCTTCTCAGTTGGAGACACGACATCTATTTAAACTGTTCAGACCCCGCATCTCCAGGATCTTCGGCTTCAAGGAGGGGACCGCCATCCAGGCTGTGGCACTATGCGCTTTCCATCAGCCGTCAATTCCGGTAGCAGCACAATGCATGCATAGAGGAGGGGACATGTACCATTTGGCCAGCCTTTCGAGCTAAAAAGGCTTAGGTGCTGGCTAAGACCCTACATCATAAGACCGCAAGGGTCGCCGTCAGAGCCATTCGACGCAGAGCATCATGTTAGACTTGCGGATCCGCAAGGTAGGTTGCGTCTCTGCCGGACTTCCACAGGGTAGGTTCGCACGTGGTGATTGGTCTACGTACTCGCGCAAGGGTACCTACCGTCCCGACGGGACTGGATAAAGGCCGGACTGGGGTAGACGCTGCGGTTGTCGCATGTTTGCTAGTTGGGTGCGGAGAAACCTCACGTCCAGTAAGGAAACATGCTCGGTTGCGTATGCAGGCCCACTCACGGGGGTGAGCATTGCGGACCCGAAGCTCAGAGACCGGTATAGCGTCCTCAGGCGTTGAGCTCCAGCGTATCACGCATTGACAGAAAAGAACGAGGCGTTTGACGTGAGTTGTCAGCGAATGAGAAGCAATCGGAATGGAAGCCAGTGTCGAAGAGATGTATAGAGAAATCATTGAACGCTATGCCTTGACGCATACTGCTCAGTTGCGAGACAGATCCAAGCACTCTATGCCGTGCTTGCCAGAGCTCAAAGTACCTTCAAGGATGATAGCTGTGGCAGCCCATGTAGCTGCGGCAAGCTGTACTAGTTGCGTTTCTCTGCGGGGGTTGTGCGGCGCTGACGTCCTGCCTATAGCACGTCTCTCGTGGAAGAATGCGGATGTGGGGTGCAGTAGTCGCTGTGCCTCACATTGAGAGGAGGTCAGAACTTGGCATTGAGGCTAGTGGCAGCAAGTGCGGGGTTAGCTCCGCCTCGAACCACGGAAGAACGGTAGACCAGTCGTTACAACGGTCAAGCGCGGGATTGGAATGGCTCCCTGCTAAACACTTCCTGTTAGTTGAAATAGACTATATCGACAGTGAGGTGGCTGCGAGCCGCAAACTAAAAGGGACCCTCAATACCACCACGATGTTACCTTATTCCCGAGGATCACTAAATTCAGTAAACTGTAAAGCTCAGCGATCGCACTCCAGATCGGAAAATGAACAGCGAGATGAACGTGTACTACTGAATCATACTCAGCAGTAGCTTCATTAGGAAAGCTCAGACATTTGGCGGTCTTAGGACTCGTCCAGATCAGCAGACTACTGCGCAGGTTCCTTTTGAGGCTGTACGAGGCTGCGCGCGACGCGCCACCGTGTGACTGACTCGTCATGAATGCATGAGCTGGAGCTTGTGTGGAGGTTCCCATGGAAGACATTGACCGGGTAGTTTCCGCTTTCCTAAAGCGACGTTTTGCATGCCAAAGGAGAGGCTCATGTCCACGTTGCACTCTTGTCGTGCTTGGCTTCGGGGGAAAAGCCCGCCAGTCAGCGTCAGCTTCGCCCTGGCGGATCCGCGCGGTCCTTCTTCGAAGTTACCCAATCTCCGGCCCTCTCTCGATCCGTCAGTTGACTTTGCATCGGATATCGTCGACTGGGGTTCTCAGAAATATCAAGTTACTGCTGTACCTGGCAACACCACCGGTTATTGTCCTGGACTATTGTATATCGAAATGCGGATCCGATGAACTCTACACCGCTTGAAGCTGAAATTGAAACTGATCTGTAGAAGGTCCGAAAGTCTAGGGATACATGATGCGTCTACTCATGATACCCATCGTGGTCTGGGTATCGCTTTTCCAAAGTCCAATATGCCCCGTAACGCCGAAGATACAATTTTAGAAGAGGGGAGAATGGAGACCGAAGACGCCGTGCATGCCGAACATGTCGCTGACAAGCGGATCAAAGCGGAAACACTCAGATGATCTCGTGTCTCTCCCAGCCAGTAGGCTTCATATGCGCAAGGTCCTTTGTCGGATGAGGCTCCTCTGGGTTTCGGTACTCGCTCACATATGGGTTAGGGTCTTCCTTTTGATCGAGGTTACCGAATGTGTGATTAACTTCTCGATGCTTGGACTCGTCTGCGCGAACTAGGATTGTGTTAGTGGGAGGTGCTGCATGAAGGGATCAGGGATATACGCACTATAGAGGAGCAGATCTCGCATTGTGCGGTGGCCTTCAGGCATCTGCCAGTAGTCTACCGCGATCTCGGGTGCCTCCATCTTCTCCCACTTTGGCAGGCGGCCTGCGTCAAGATCCTCGATCTGGCGGGTGTATGTAATGACGGCTTCCTCTTCGAGATATCCTACAAATCGGTGGACGGTACGAGGGCTCAAGAGGTAGGCGAAGAATAAGGCATTGCACCAAACTCCCTGGGCACCCAATACCATCAGGCGCATGAAGCGTCCTGGCCGTTGCATCTTCAGGAAGACGAGAAGATGCATTCGTTCATTGTAGCTCTCTTCGAGTAGGGACTCGATCCTGGCAAACAGTGTGTCAGTGGCATATTATTGTACTAATAAGCGAGAATACATACCATCCATTGTCGCGCTTCATTCGTCTCATTGAGTGCAAATGTCGAAGCATGCCAGCTACCATGCCGGGCACGCCAGCAACACTCTCCAAAAAGACGTTCCGGATCAGATATTTCTCTTCGTTCATGGCAAAAGCCTTTCGCTTGGCCAGTGGATCTTTAGCATCCACGTCCACAGCCTTCTGATGCTTGTATCCAGTTGCTTTATCGAGACCCCAACGTAGGATCTTGACGGCGATGAGGGCGACCTTGTCAGACATGGTCTTTGCTTCGCGGTGGGCAATTGTGACTTGATTCATCTGCTCTTCGGTGTATACTGACTGGTGTTAGCTAGACATATAGGTACTACATTTTCGGCGGGTACGTACCTGGGTGAGGCCATGCTGCATGCGTCTTGCGAACCTTCTCTGTCGGGTGCTTCTCGAAGAATTCTTTGATCTTTGCTCCACCGTTGGGTGATGAAGTAAAGTGCCTCTGGCCAACTTGCGATTGGAAGTGCTGTACCGCAACGAAGGTGGGTCGATAGCCGGCATTGTAGCTCTTGAAGGATTTGATGAGCTGAGCTGTAGCCCGCTTTGAGGTTGTTGATCCCCGTGTTGCTGCTCTGGTGGAGATCATCTGCGATTATAAAGGCGCGTGTTTATCTTAGAGTGGTGTTTGGTGTAAAGGGTGTTGTCAACTATAATGGTAAGTGCTGATGGTTAGCATGAGGCAAGACTGAGGCACACTTCGTCCTTTATATCAAACAAGACATGACGCTGACAACTAAAAAAAGACATCCACGCGGTACTCGTGCCTGTCCGGCGCGCTCAGTCATCACAGGGTAGAATAGGAATGTACAGAGATGCCGCCGCTACACGGCGCCATACCCGTCGTCCGGCAGGCTCGGCGAGCAATTAGGCTTCCTATGAGAGGCCGAGCGTGTCAGCAAGTTGTCGAGAGCGGGCGTCTACGGTCGCGTGCGAAGACGAGTTTGCGACGGCTGAGCGAGGTGGTGATTCAGCTGACGGGAGGAATCGGAATAGCTCTGCCAAGACATTCAACCTACCCCTGTCAGAAGCTCAAAGAAGGCTTTCGCGACACAGAAAAAAGAAGTGCGCATTCATTAGACACATCATGCGGAGACTCTGTATGTTTTGTTGGTAGTGGTATGAAAAGGCAATGTTATGTGGTTGGGACATGTGGCCGCTGGTTCCGGGAGATGCTCGTCGGAGTCTTACAGAACTCGGGGTCTCGTCGTTTCGTTGTTCGCCGTCAGACCCACTCTGATACTGTAGGGCTGATAGCGCAACATCGGAAAGCCTGCAACATGATGGAATTCTTTCGTATGTACCTTCAGGCTGATTTTCGTATTCGGATCCACGGTCAGCCCAGGAGAAGGCACTGCTTTGTGGCTGCGCTTCCAATGAGAGTGGAATAGTACCATGCAAGAAGAGACATTGTGTTTCCAGTCTTCGATCACGACTTTCACCAAACCCCGAAGGCGTCTAGGCTTCATCGTCAGACTAGTGACGGGTTCTTGCTTCACCTAGGATGAAAAATTGCTAGCATCACACCAATAACAGATCAAGAGAGCCCGCACGGTCTGCCGTTCCATCGGCAAGGGACGTCCAAGGGTCTTCACGACAAGTCGTCAGGAGGCGTTTTGAGCAAGTACCTTCGTCAGTGTACGGCGTGTGTTGCTTTGCTAGAGCTTGGGCTCGATGTTTGAATAGCCTGGGAGTTCAAGACCAAGTTTGTATTTAATACTGCCTAGTGCGTGTGTATCATGTATCCCATTACATGTCGTGCCTCATCATAGTGTCTTTCTGGGCTACGGTTACGTATAGAGAGATGAAGTGACAAATATTTACGCTCATATGGATGTCGCCACGCTTACGCCCACTCCAACCCTTTTGGGGGGAGGTGTACAGACTATTGAACGTTGAAGCTGCTCTCGCCATCCCTACTGGAGATCTCCGAATGGTCAACCTTTGAGACTGATGCTGCCGATGGTCCTTTGTTCAGATGCTGGATGAACTCATTGATTTTGTCGTCATTGCCCTGAGCCTCGCCCTGGACCTGTTCTGTGTGAGCAGCCATCGGGTAAGTACGATGGGAGTACGCACACTTCCATCCGATGCATTGGTGACGAAGCCAGTCACACCGATGCTCTTGGCTTGCTTTTGCGTGAAGGAGCGAAAGTTGACGCCCTGCACCTGGCCTTCGACCTTGTACTGAATCTGTGCCTAGATCAGTTTTGCCACTAGCAGGTTGGGCGGACAACGCACTCGCTTGGTGGACATTGTGGCAGTGGTTGTAAAGAAGCGCCTCATACAGGTGAGAGTGTTACGTGAGGTTGTGTCTGGTTAGACCAAGTTCATGCAAATGCCTGGGCGTCATATAACGAGTTCATGCTCCTGCAGGCGTGCGACGTCATCGCAGTTGCGAAAAGTACACGCTACTTCGGGAAGGCACCCTGGCGAGGCTTTCACCTGGGGTGCGGGGCCAGAAGCAAGCGCTTAGTTGGCCGGGAGGCATCGAGAGCCGCAAAGGAGAATTTCCTTTTGGACACATAAGCACTTTGGACGATGGTCGCAACGACTATGCGTTCACGGCTATACGGAAATTGCGTCGGTGAGGGAGCTCAGGGCGCTAGTCACGCGTTTCGGATACAATCTCGCGTCTGTAATCAAACGCCCCTTTCGAAACTCCGACTCACATAGCAACAACCGCACATTGCCCAGGTGGCTCCACAAACAAGACAAGTGCTTGATAACCCACCACCGCTCCGTAAATGCCTAGGATTCGAAAACACCGAATCTCACTGCTGATAAGGAGTCTAACGACTGCGACGGCTTTGCACCTACCACCCCTGTCAACCACCATGGACACGCCCAACTCCCCACCCGCACGCTCAACCTCGCCCGACCCATGGGCGACCCCATCTCTGGCCATCGGCGCAATTCCGCCCCTGGACCGTTCCGTCTCAACAGCCTCGTCCGTCTCGTCGGCGCGCTCAGTGAGCTCGCGTCTGTCCGCTGGCGGCACTCGACGTGGATACATGCGGCCGGAGGGCACAGAGTTCTCCACGTCGGCCAAGAACAGAGAGAGCGTCATGAACCTAGGCACCATCGCACATCTGCAGTACTACTTTGCGAGGACCGGCCTGCTCGACACGGCCACTGGACGCGTCGCCAAAGGCCGCAAGCCTGGCTCGCGGACAGCGAGCGGCAACGAACCACTCTCGCCTGGCCTCGATGCCGACTTCTCGTCGCTGTCCCTTGCATCCCCGGACGGCATGTCTGAACATAATTTTGGAGAGGGCTTTGTTGAGTCGCCGCTCGACGAAACGGCCTCGATGGCATGGGAAGACCCCGAGCCCATGATGCTCCCACCCACCGTCAGCACCTACAAGAACAACCCCGTCTACGTCCCACCGCCACCTGACATGACTGTCCTTCGCCGCGAACTTCGCGAGTCGCTTGCTGAGTCTACGAAGCATCTCGACGAGCTGGAGAAGGGCTTTTCTGATGTCCAGCCAGACGGAAAGACGGCGAAAAATGGCGGGGAAGAAGCTTCGGGCTGGCACGAGGTTCAAGGCATCAACCTGTTGGATGTCACCACCCTAGCGATCCGCGCCGCGAAGAACTACTACACTGCACACGAAGAACCACAACGACTCTATGCCATCAAACCAGAACGGACAATTCGAAAGGAACTATACGATACTCTCGAGGTTCTGAAGCGCCTCGCTATTCGCAACTTTGGAAACGGTGTGCAGCCCTACGAAGTCACCCAACTAAGGCAATGGGTGGTCGACATTAGCACACTGCTTGATACCGAAGAGGAGAAGGAGCGCGTGGAACAAGAAGAAAGAGAGAACTGGTCGTGGCGCGAGGGTGACTGGACGGGCAAAGAACGCGAGAGGGAACTCCTCTTCCTCAAGTCGTTCGACACCAGTCTCGACGCGCTTCCCGAGTGGACCAGCGCTGCCGACGCTAAGCTCCCAACGCCCTTCCTTGCTGAACTACAAAACGGCCTGCGACTAGTTCATCTCCACAACACTCTCGTCCGGAGGTCAAAACGACACTTTGAAGAGATCAAGACGTACCACACCGATACGGCCAAGCCATACCGCTGCGCCGACAACCTGCGCTACTGGGTCAAAGCCGCGGAACTGCGCTGGGACATCAAGCTCGACGTTGATGTCATGGGCGTGGTCCACGGCGAGGACCCAGAAGCGTGGAAGAAGTTTGACGCTGCTATTCTGCAATGGAGCCAGGGCGTTCGTGAGGAAATCACGTCGGAATGGCAAAAGCAGAAGAACCAAACGAGAACCCCTACACTACAGATCGACCCGAACTACGAGGCGCTGTGAAGTGGCCATTGCGGCAAACAACTATGGATCTCGACCTATTTCATTTCATGTCCATGTTTTGACACATCACCTTTATCTAATTTGCACGAAGCTTATGCCCCCCGAATCTCAACTCCACACCACAGAATTTCTTGAAGAGTATTCCCTGGTTGGAAACAGGGCTCTTTTACCATTCCGCTCAGAGTGCGCCGACAGGTGGCGACTTGAGATAGATACCCCTTTTGCATGAACGACTTGCAGTCCTATAGTGTTAGATACAGACAAGTCGAATGTAAATAATGTCTACATATATATTATAACAAGAGTCACTAGACACCCATGGCCTCGTCAATGTCCCTGCCCTTGGAACATGAGGAGACGAGAGCGACCAGAAGGGCAGGTCCCGCATGTCGTGCATAGCATTGATAGTGAACATGTATAACACAAATGATAAGATCGACCGAGCGCTTCTAGAAAGGATGGCACAGACGGTGGCGTCGCAGCTTGAGTGCCAATGAATGGAGATGAGAGTGGGAATGGAAGCACTGATAGCAGGGGGGAGCTGGCGGAAATTGGGTACAGCGGTACCCGGTGAGACACAAGCGGGACGTTTTGTGAACGGGTGTCTTGAGAGGTGTGGGAACGTCTCCTCCAAGACCATCTACAGGACACATCCCACTGCACATGCTCTAGAGACCGACTCTTTGTTGTTGCGCCACACCGTTATTGTGGTAAACAGAAGCAACGCGTGAACGAACTAGGCTAACGCGATTTCGGCGCCATCCCAAAGAACGTCGATTCATCTCCCGATTGATCTGGTATCCGTGCATGCAGCGTATCCAGTCTTGCGCAGCCTCCTCTTTTGTCTCTACGCGACCTGGAGGTTTCCTCGAGGTCCACACAGACATGCTCAATGAGCGACACGGCCACGCCGCCTTCAGTTCTCGACAGCAGCCCCGCCGCGACTGCCGTTGACTTGCCAGCGAAGACACCGCCGAACCCACCACCGACGACCACCTCGTCATCACCCTCCTCGCCCAAACCGCTTAGGCACATTCCTGCCCACATTGAAAGTACCACCAAGCTCGCGAGAAATGTATCTCCAGGCCTCCTGGCACGCATGAAATTTCTCAACCAGATCAACGACAACAACAACAAGAGTGCCGTTGACGTCGGCCGCATCGAAGAAGACCGCCTGCGCCGCCTGGACGAGTTCCGCAAAGCCCGCAGCCTCGAGATTGAGCGCCGCGGCACCGCCTGGAGTGGAAAGCAAGCTGGTCAGGGTCCACCACTGGTGGGTGCTGCAGCACAAACGCCGCTCGTGCCCCAGTCAACGGGCGAGAGCGTCCCGACGCTGGTCATGGAGCCCGACTTCGACAGCGACCACAGCAGTGTCGTCTCCACCAGCGACAAAGTCCTCCCGTCCGAGTCCGAGGCCGAGATCGAGCTTGACATGCAGAAGTACCGCCTGCCCGATGTCACCAAGCCAGAAAAGGCCCTCAGCGGTACCATCACCGCTGCTGAGCCCGAGCCCACACCACCGGCCGCACCTCCCCAGATAGAACCAGAGCCCATCGCGCCTGTCGAAACAGAGCCCGCCGCACCCACGCCCCCACCCAAAGACACGCCACCCCTTCCCTCACCACCCGCCCCAGTCGCCGAAGAGGAGCCCTCCGTGCTAGACGACAACAATGGCATCGACATCGAGTCCTACTTCCAGAAGCGCCACTACCCGCGCGCTGGCTCCATCTACACCCTCTCCAAAGTCAGCTTCACCAATCAGATCCAGCAGTTGACCTCCATGAAGCTTCCGCCCACGACCATCGCGTCCGAAATCACCGCCCTCCCCACGTCCGTCCAGGCCGGACGCGCACTGCACAAGGCGGCCAACGACATCCGACTGTGGGTCTCCAAGACGAAAGATGTCCTTAGCGGCCTCGACGCAGAGGACGACGTAGAATGGGCCGCAGCTGCGGGAAGGGAAGGGCTGGAGGAGGTGGATGCCGCGATCGGCAAGTTCGAGGGGCTCGTCAACGTCTACATCAGCGCCATCGAAGATCTGCAGTCGCGTCCCGACATTGCGCTCCTACCCACCAAAGACCAGACCACGCTTGTGAGCCAAATGGAAGACATCGTGATGAACTGGGGTGAGATCAAGCAGACGCTCAAGGGTATCAAGAACCAGGTCGAAGTGGCCATGGAGTGGGAAGAGCTGTGGAACAACGTACTGGGCGAAATTGGCGTTGAGGTCGAGAACCTCAGTCGTCTGGTGTTTGAGATGGAGGAGCGCAGACATCGCGTCATCTCCGACTCAGTCGCTGAAGCCCCAGAGAAGTTCGACATTTCTGAGCTCGAGACCGTTGTTAAAGAGATCCCCCGGAAGCAGGCTATACTGAACAGCAAGCGGCTTAGTATGCCGCCTGTCCCCTCCATCGTCTCGCCCACTTCGCCCATTCCGCAAATCGAACAGGAGAATTCACGCCTACTAGCCCTTTTCGCGAAGCTGCAGCCGCTCCGTGCTTCGCTTGATTTCCTCCCTATGCGACTGAACGCCTTCCAGATGCGCGCGAGCACAATCTTCCCGTCTGCGTGTGACGAACTCGTACGAAGAAAGGAACAGCTGGAGGCATCAGAGGAGAAGCTCGAAGCCGAAGCAAACGCGCTGCGAGAAGAGCTGGGTGAGGACAAATGGGTGCACAGCTTCCGTCAAGCGGGTAGCAAGGCTGTCGCCATGTACGAGTCGTGCATGAAGAGCATCCAGAGACTGCAGCAAGCCATCGACGACAGCGACGAGGAGAAGCTGCCTACGCGTATTGCCACCTACAAAGACAAGAGGGACCACTATCCTCCGTCAATGAGGCGTGTACTTGAGCTGATTGACATTGAGATGAAGCATAGGTCCACTGTCAACGGCGAGATCCTGCGTATACAACAGGATGTCCGCGCAAAGGTGGAGGACTTGGAGGAAGTGACTGGAAACATGGACGCCATCTTGGACGACTTTACCAGATCACGCAAACTCCGTGACTCAGTGTCCACAGTACTGACAGAGGCCTCACTTCCACACTCGAATCTCGACACACCCGGTACTTCTCCTGCTTCGAGTGTCGTCATGAGCCGTAAGAGTAGTGGGCATGGGCCTGCTGTTACTCCCGCCAACAAGAAACCTCGTCAGTCAAGTGTCGCGAGCTCGAAATTGTCAGCACCTTCTAACCGGCGATACTCGAGCATACCCCTAGGCGGCGAAAGTGTCGCTTCCCGCAAATCTACATCCTCGGCACGCTTGGACTTTACACCCTCTCGCGCCATGTCCGGTACTGCAGCTAGCCAGGCACGTGCAAAGACCCCGACTGAAAGACCTGTTGCCAAACCTCGCTGGACCTCTGACTTTTACCACATGCGGGACACTGTCGTTGGGCACAACTTCAAGCCATCGTCTCTGACTACACCCTCACCTTTCCGGAAAGACACAGACTCGCCGGATGGATCCCGAAAAGGCTCAGCGAGCCGTTCATCCATACCCCTGAGAAGCCCGTTGAGCCGCTCGTCGACGACAGCGCCGCCCACATCTAGTCGTTCTGCATCTACTACTCCAGGACAGCAGCGCCTCACTCGATCATTAGCGAGCTCAACCAGCTCCCCTGTTACTCCCGCAAAGGGCAAGCTGCCGATACGTTCTACACCCCTTTCTTCACCTCAGGTGAAATCAAGCACGCCAGCATCCAGCCGTCGCGTCTCAACAGTAGCGGAGGATAGCAGGAGCCCTGCCAAGGAAGAAAGCCCCGCAGCCCGTCGCGCATCACGACCTCCGAGTGTTACAGCGAGCCGTCGCAGCAGCCTGCTTCCTACACCTAAGTCGCGTACTACATCTGCTTCCAAGGTCATAGAGACAACCCCTCCTAAGCGCACCAGCAGCAGGCTTGATAGCTTGGCTGAAAGCCGTACTTCCAGTCGTGTTAGCGGTCGTCAATCGAGCCAGGGAGATAGACCCGTGTGGAGATAGGCTCTCGCAAAGCGGACATTTCTTCTCGATACACCTGAACACGCCTGAACAACGACTTTGTCTCTTCCAGCGAACAACAGCAACCTCACGCCATCAACGTCAGCGAAACTTGTGCCTGCTTTTCCCCAATCACCTTCAATTCACTCCTGGATCCTGGCTTGGTCCTAACCCCGTTCTTTAATATCGATTTGTAGTACCAAGACCCCAAACCCCAAACCCTTGTTGTTTTCGAGGAAATCCTTCTTTCCCCGATGTATCATCGAATGTTGATCTCACCTCTGGATCCTTCATCACTTTTTGTGCTTTTTATCTGGCGTTTTAGCGGTTGGGAGAAAGTATCCTATACCCCGGAGTTTTATTGAGATATATCCTGTTCCACATACCCGAGCGAGCGTACGGCGAATGGAGCGCGAGTAAGCGTTGGGCGTGTGTGCTAAGCGCTTGCAGCATGAGGGACATCTTGCGAGCATGCATCGAGGCGTGATTTTTGGTTGATATGGACTAGATTGGTGTGTATAGGTGGACTGCGGAATTGGACGGTGGAGGATGGACGGTGGAGCAGACTGGTTCTATGTTCGAGCGAGTGCGTTAGATAGTAACTAAACGAGAGATAGAATTGATACCATAGTAAACCAACGCTTTTGCTACAGTGACAGTCTTGTTCATGTGTCTCACTCATTGAATGCAAAGTGCGAGACCATACGCAAGACAACTGCACTCGAATCGTCCGGCTGACCTTGTCAGAGACATGACCTTTCTCAAGCTATGCTCAACACATAAGAACTACAATGTATTGACTCTGTTCCCCCACATGAACAGCACTGTCCAGATTCACATCTACATAAGTCAATCCTATTACACCTTGACGTACATTGAATAGTCGATCCACAACGACCTTTGTTGTCCCCTCCACGAGACATGCCACTAAACTGTGCAGCAGACTGTAGGTTCTGTGAGTTTGAGAGAGTCCACGCTGATCCCGCATCGCCATCTCAAAAGGAAGATGATGCGTGTACCGAGGAAAAGGATGTAATGCTATCGTCGTCATCTTCGTCGTTGCTGGGGGATAGTGGCAGTACATCCTCCATACTGGAAACTATTTTTGCTGAGACAATCCCAACGTATGCAGAAATAGACGACGCATTCAATAGGATGGATATTGCTCCTGACATGTCGTCGAACGGCGATGATGAGGAGAAGAAGGAAGAGCCACATACGAGCATCTATCCACCCAGTCCTAGCTCAGTCTACAGCAACGACAATCCTCTTGAGAACGACAACACCAACAGCGGGACTCAGGGTAGCGATGACTGGAGTTTCTTGGATGACGTTCATGTTGCTATCGTAGCTTGGCTTGATGCTGGGGGTTTGGAGATGGCGAGGCTAGAGTATGCACCTGTTTTCGCAACCGGAATGGGTGGAAAGGGGAGGAGGAGGAGGCATAGTGTGTGAGATGGGGGTCTTGGATATGAAGACATAGAGCAGCTCTAATTGGTTATGCATACATCTGTCTTACTACACAGTTGTGTCAGTTGCGACATTTTTCAACGAGACGCCATCAACAATGCAAGGTGCCCAATTCGACGGCATGCGGCGGGATACGTTCATCACCCTAGGATAAGATCCACAAGCTCTTTCTCTCTATCTTGCTCCCAAGCCTCTGCAGCAACCGCGCCGCTTGCCTTCCGGTAAGCAACACCATCGATCCACTCGATCCATAGTACGAAGTAGCATGCCTTGGGTGTTCTGAAAAGATGCCTTCCGATACGACGTTGTTCATTAGTTCCTTCTTCGCTTGGAAACACGTTCCAATCTTCTCCGACTACTGATACATTCGCGGTGTATCCTTTGCAAGTTGCCACAAGCTCCATTGAGCGCAGGCTTGCGGATGACTCAAATGCTTCCATGTCCTTGCTGTTGTGGAGTTGTATGTAGCCAACATGTTGACCATTTGACCGTATGAGCCACATGGAAAAACTGTACCCATCACGTTTGTACCGTACGCGCGTAGGCGATATGGTTTGGCCGCACATGTAAGCACGCTCGGTTCTGGCAAAGAGATACGCTGTTTGTAACGACGGTGCTTCTTGTTCGCCTCGATAAGGCAAGGAGGTGGGAAATGGATACCGGTACTTGAGTTTCGCCTTATCGTGCTTGAAGTAGTATTTCTGCTCCAACAAACAGTCTGGTACAATGCCTTTCCCTAATGCAAGCTTTTTCAGATCTTCATCGTCCATCCAAATGCGCTTCCACCCGATTGGAAGTATGGCTGAAGTATCACGCACCGATAGTCTGTGCTTGTACCATCCCGAGCCGATTGTTCTTCTCTCATTGGATGATGGGATGGGCATCGTATACCACGTCGTAACAGGTACTGTGAAGCAAGGGTTGGGATAGCGGTCGTTCATCCTGAGTCCTGCGTCCGCTGGAAATGCAACCTGACCTGCCCAACCAAGCCATGACCAACTAGGTAGCTGATAGGGCTGCCGGAACGATCGATGCTGCTCTGAAGGCACACGTCTTACGATTCCTTCATGCGATGATGGCGTCCAGTTTAAGGTTATGTCAAACCAGAATTCTGGCAGTCCGTAGAGGAACCTGTCCGCATGATTGCGTTCCAGCATAGATTGCACTCCAGCGAATGCAGCGAATGCGTCCTCTGGAAAACTCAACTCGCGTTGATTATAAAGCCCTATCGCTGTATTTAGCCCCATTGGTGTTGGCATATTTCTTGTGATTGATTGAAACTGAAAGTCACTCCGCTTGTACAAGTGATCAGGCAACAAAAGATCGTACTCTGCTTGGCTTCCGTGGTTACACTGCCATTCAACGGCTCCTGATGCAAAGTGAATCGCACGCCTGGACATAAGCTGCTCTTGAAATGTCCATGCTCTTTCTTGATACTTGCTAGGAACACGGTTGTCAGGGGGCGACATGGAGTTTGTCTGAACAAGGATCTCCGAGTTTGATAACCTGGCATATGTCCGCTTGTGGCGCCGGGGTGCAGTAGTGCCTTCGAGACCGCGCACTAAAGGTTGGTATATAAAGTCACTTTATATGCTGCATACAGTTTCGTGGTGGCACTTACGCCCATAGTTTGCATCAAGTCCGTCTTTCGCGATGATGGTAAAAGTAGCGCTGTTGTATATCCGATGCATTTGGGACAGCTCAGACCGTAGTTGCTGATGGTCGTCTTGAACCTGTCGCGCAAGAAGCGATCAGTGTCATGGATAGCTTAGGTTCAGAGAGTCGCGCACTCACAATACAAAGCGAGTCTACCCATAGATAGCGGTAGTGTAGTAGTTTCACCATTGCGAACGCATCTCTAATCGTTTGTGGGATCCTTGAGGCAACCCCTTCCGTCGCGAGTGAGCCTGTGACTAAGAGATCTTTGCAGAGCTGGGTGTTGTTTCGAAGGCTGTCGATTTGACCCCATTGGTAGCTTAGCGCAACATATTCTGGCTGGACAGCCTCTCCATATACAAGGCAAGCACGATGGGTATCAACAAGATATCGTGGCCTGATCATGTCTTCTTTTCTGGACAAGCGACCTCCTCCGCATCTTTTACCATGGTTCATATCGCAAAGCGCAATGCGACGCCGGAGAACATCGAGATTGATCCATTGCTCGTTGACGTATAAAGAGGTCCCAGGATGGCCAGGAACATCTTCTCTACATACCAGTTCCCAGCAGCTCCGTAATTGATCGTCAGGGCGCGCTTTACGGGATGGAAGTATTGGTTCGAACGAAATATTTTTCATCCATTTTCTCGCCTTGATATTCAAAATAGAGGGATCTTGAACCCGATATTTGGGGTGTTTCACCTGTGGCCAAGCTTCTCTAACGTTCTCGAATAAAGCAACATGCGTACAGTCCCCTCGAAGGAGATCCTGTAGGTTTCCCAATGTTTCTTCCGTAGATTGTTGGACAGGAGCGCTGGCGATTGCGAAGATGCGGTTGCAAATGTCGCATGCCACCGGATTCAGTCGTGGCGTTTCCGAAGTTGTCTCTGTACGGACGTCGCGAGTAGCTGCGCGGGCATTTCCTCCCAAGAGCATTACCAAGTGAGCTTGAGGTCACGACTTTGACTAACATTTACGTACGACGGGGTGCTTTTCAGCAGATTTGGTGACAGTACATTCTCTTACCGAAGGATGGCAGCAGAGTATAATGTTGGTGCGGGGTAAGTCTGTTCTTTCCACTGGGGCCGTCTGATGGATGCGCCAAAAAGGTGGCCTGTGCTGGCCACACATGCAATGAAAAGGAGCTCTCTATACTCCGGAGCTGACAGTTTGAAGTTTCAGATGTATAGATGAGATGCAAAATAGAGATTCCTCAGGTTGAAGATCTTGCTGTTCCAAGTACCATGCCCCAACGCATTCCGAGAGATCGAAAGCGTCCGGCCCCAACTCAATACATCAATGTCGCAAAAGGTTGATGCTAGCTTAGAGCCTAGAATTTCTGGCTCTACTGAAAAATCACCTCTACTACCCAAGGATTAGATCAACAAGCTCTTCCTCTCTTTCCTGCTCCCAGGCTTCAGCGGTGACTACCCCACAAGCTCTCCGATACGCGACACCGTCTTGCCACTCAATCCATAGCACAAAGATGCAATCAACAGCCTGTCCTTTTTCAGTCCCTTCATAATATTCTATTTTCTCTACCTCGGTCTCGATATTCCAGTCTATTTCTGAGGTTAGCAATAACCTGGAAGTGCCTCTGCTTATCGCTACGAGCTCGAGGGGGTTTAGAGACAATGAGTCACTACCCGCATGTTCAAAGTAGGATTGTTCTTCCTCATTATTGAGATGAAGAAAGCCAACATATCGACCTTGCGGCGATGCTAGCCACAGTGGATGGTGCGCACATAACCTGTTGGACTTTACATGCACCTGCTTGCCGAGCAGAAATGTCCGAGTAGTTCGGGCGAAGAGGTATGCGGTTTCTGAGACAGATGTGCTTGTAAATGTCGATGAAGGTTCTGGAACAGGAAATGGGTATAGGTAGTTCGCGTACGGGCGTCGAGTATGGCTGAACACGATTCTTCCTTCTTCATCGGTATGCTGCGTCCATCCCTTAGACAGAATGTCTAAGCGACTGTCTACTGTTTGTGAGCGGTATTGATACCATTCTGAACTGATCGGTCTGCGCTCAGGAGAGGTAGGATCGGCTAGTGTATACCACTTTGTGACGGGTTCTGTGAAGCCATTCCCCAAGACATCATCAGTAGGGAATCGCACAGAACCGGCCCAACCAATCCAAGACCAACTCGGCAATTGGGACGAATTTTCAGCAGGGCGTGTCGAACTTGCGGCTTCGTGACGTCTTACACGTCGTGAAACGGTTGTAGGAGTCCAACACAACGCGATGTCAAACCAGAATTCAGGAAGTCCGTAAAGAAAGCCAGGTTGGTAAAGTCGTTCGAGCAGACTCTGAACGCCGGTGAATGCAGGAAACGCGTCTTCGGGGTAACTCAAGTTGAGGACATTGTAGGCATCCACCAAATCAATCATTGAAGAAGGCGTTGGCATTGCGGTTCTGAACCACTGATTCGACGTTGGTCGTCGGGACAGCCTAACAAAATCCTGATCACCTGGTTTGGGTAGTTCCATGATGACATCTTCACGCATCTGGCCATGTTCACAATGCCACTCCACAGCGTCGTTAGCAAAGACTAGCCTCCGGAGTGAGAAGTGAAACTCTTGGAATGTCCATGCTCGTGTGTGATAAAGGGTTAGTCCTCGGCGCTCTGTGTATTGTGTCGATGGATGACGTGTTGCCATCCATTCAGAACCAGATAATTTCATAGACACTTGAGGGTGCTTCCTTGCGGCAGTTCGGCCTTTGAGCCCGCGTAGTCCGTAGCTCGCATCGAACCCATCGGCGGCAACAATAGTGAAGCTAGCTGAGTTATAAATGCGGTGCATTTGACACAGCTCAGCAGCAAGCTGAACATGATCATCTTGGGTCTGTGAAATGTCAGATACTCTTCGCCACACATTAGGCACAGATTCCTCACTTACAATACACAAAGCATCCACCCAAAGATATCTATAGCCCAGCAATTCAACAGAAGCGAAAGCATCGCTAATTGTTCGTGGTATCTTTGTAGCGAATTCCTGGTTCAGGAGCGAATACGGCGCGAGAAGTCTTTCACGCGTCTCAATTGTATTCCGAAGTGTTTCAGTCTGTCCCCACTGGTAACTCAGTGCGATATACTCGGCTTCGATTTGCTCGCCCCCAACAATACACATTTCCAATGTATCGATGAGGTATTTGGGCCTTATAGGCTCTAGATGCTTGAGCCATGGTACTTGTTTGCATTGAACTCCATGAGCTGCATCGCACGTCGTTATCCACTCTTTAATCAAACCCACGTCGATCCATTCAGGGTCTACTGGTCGCATCGTTCCGGGATGGTTGGGAACTGCAAGCCTGTGGATTAGTCCCATATAATCTGAATGTGTATGAAGCATCATAAACTCTGCCGTGGGCAAACGTCGTAGCCAAAAGCTTATGAACCCAGGCTCAGAAACATCGTTGTAAAGTACTAAGGGCAACCTGCCACAACCTGGATCACCTGCAAGAAGTTTCTGCAACAAGTCTTTGAACAAGGCCACATGAGGACATTGGCTTTGCAGAAGATGTTCGACCAGACCCAGGGGATATCCTTCGGAGACTTCGACAGATTGTCCAGCGCACGAAAGTATATTGCTGCAGACTTCGCAATCGGTCTGGTTGTCGAATGATTGACGCGCTCGACGCAAAAGCGTGCTTTGTTCAATTTGTGTGATATTGGCCATATTTGCGGTGGATCTCAAATTGCTAACATGTCAAAGTCCAAGGTTGATGGCGAGGATGTTGCGTCAGTATGCGAATCTTGATAGAGGCACGGTTATTGTGACAGGGGGACTTGAAGTGGGGTACCTGCAGGCTTACGCGCAGGCATATAAAGTGCTCTTGATACTTGCTACCACGTATAATCAAAGTCGTAGGAACGCCGAAACACGAAGACCCTATAGTGAGAAGTTGGTCATACCGGACGGCGTATCCCATAACGCATCCCAAGAAAAGTCAAAAGCGTTCGGGTCCAATATGTCCGATAATAAGAAACTCGCGTCGTCAAAGTTGGGCATTACCGGCACTTCGCTTCCACTTCCATTAGCAACAATGCTGGTGGGCTCCGTTTCCGACGGCTGCGGCACCTCTCGCGCGTTCAAAGATGCAATCTTCGAC